TCCACACAGAGCTCCAGAAATCATCCTTGGACTCCCGTTCGATCAGGCCATAGACGTCTGGTCTCTGGGCACCATGTTGGTCACTTTGCTCACTGGGTTTGATCTGTTTCCCGACCGAACAGAATTTGAGACTGTAAGTACTAGAACTGTTGTTCTGAAGAAAACGTTCACACAGTCTTAAAAAATCCAAACATTTAACAACGTCTTGTATCTTTTGTTTCTTTAGCTGACGACTATAGTCAAAATATTCGGTCAACCTCCCGACAACGTCCTCAGTGAAGCGGTCAACACCCATAAGTTTTTCAATGCCGATGGGGCCAGCTGGAAGATAAAGGTAAACAGCTTCTTTTTTTTTTTCGCCAATTAATTTAAGGTCGTCATGGTAATTCACCCTGATTTTCTTTTGGATTAGACCGCGCAGGAGTTTGAAAAGTCTTCTCAGCTGCCTCCGAATACGATTGAGGCCCACGAAACAGACGCCTTTGAATCTCTGGATGAAGTGATTCAGGTATGATTAAATTTTAGGTCAACATTTCCTATGCTAAATTTGTGTTCACAGTTCTTATTTTGGAATTATTACTCTTTTTCAGTCCAATATTAAACACGATTATGACGATGCTGAGCTAGGTGCCTGCATTAACCTGGTGAAGGCGATGCTCTGTCTGGACGGGACTCGGAGGATCACTCCTGCTCAGATTCGAGCGCACAACTTTATCAGGTGAGTAGGAAATCCCACAACAAAACTATAGGCGAGTTTCATTGTTGACAAAAGCGCACGTTGCATGCTGGGAATTATTTTGGTCGGCGGCAAGAAACACTAATTCAACATGATGGACGGAGCGAGAAAGCACGTAAAGGGTATTGATCCCGTTGATTTACCCACTTTAACGGCAGAGGACCGAAGACCATTTGACCAGAAATTGGTCATAAGCATCGATGGACGCCAAATCACCCTTTTCAACCCCGACAAAAGGTGGAAGAAACCACATTTCTGGTCAGAATCGCCAACTACCTGGCCACATATTCACTTCGGTGATATCCACAATGACTTGGTGGAAACTCCTGTTCCATTCACAGCAGAAAAGATGAAAACCTCCAAGAGTCTCGATGTGTTGTTGAACTTGTTGGAGTCCACGGTTTGTTAGGATCTTCTACGTTTGCTATGCGGATGTTTGAAAGTCGTTTAATTCACCGTTAACGGTTCTTTTCACTCAGAATATGAAAAAGACATTTTCCTTCTTCCGTGTTTCTATTTGTGCATCCGATAATGCAGTAGGAATTTACCATTATCGGGGATAAATATGCAAGGTTACGCACTGTGTTTGACACTATCGTGTTTTTTGCCTCCAACCAAAATATTTCCCAGCAGCAACGCGGGCTTTTAATAACAATGATGTCAGCTGAAACTCGCCTATTCCAGAATACAGTGTACAGCAAAAGTCAAATATTGAAATAATTATGTTTGTGTTGTTGTTTGCAGTATGAGCAGAGAGGTGGAAGCACCAGTGTCTGAGGAGCAGGTCGACGCCTTCCAGAAGCCCCAGAAGTCACCTGTTTTCATCACGGTTAAACCAGCCTCAACTGAAAACACCACAGCCTTTGTAGAAGATCCTCCAGTGAGCAAGAGGTGAGTACGCTTCCGTCGTTTTAGGGGACTGTTACAGTGCATGACAGGTTTTCATGTTTTCAAATTACGACTTGGTTTGGTGGGATGGTACCTGAGACAAATACTGTATGTGTCATAGTTTTACACCAGTTAAGGGTCTTAAAATGAGCGAGTCAACCAGAAGTCTAACACGGTTCTTGTTTTTTGTTTTATATGAAAAGTGTGGTGAGCCCAAGCCCAGCAGACGCAGCAGCAGTGGCGGCGGCGGGAGCGACGGAGGCGGTGGCGGCAGAAGCAGCAGAAGCAGAAGCAGTGTGGAGTGAAAAACCTAAAACAATAGTGATCACGGCTGAATCTTCATCTGGAGCTGCACAGTTTCTGGACGAGGACAAGCTCCAGAGTGGCAGGTGAGCACCGCTTTGGTTGGTTTTTGGAGATTTATTTCATGTTGTAATGTTGTTCCCTCATCAAAAACATGCCTGAAGTTGTATATGTCTGCCATACATGTGAGAGTAATTTAGCGATCTTTGCCCGGGCTCTACTCCTTACTCCTTAAATTTTAAAAGCCACACTGGAAAAACAAAATCTAGTCAAGTTAAGATGACTCGAATTAAGAAAGTTTTATCATGATTTGAGTAAATTTCACTTGATGAGTAAAATTACTGCCAGTGGAACAAGACTTTTTATACTTAAAATATGAAAATACATCTTGCTACACTTAAAAACAAGAACTTTTTGGACTTAATTCAAGCAACATTTGATTTTGTTTCTCATTTTAAGAAAAACACACTTATTCCATTGGTGGATAATTTTACTTGTCAAGTTGAATCAACTCAAATAAAGTAAAATTTTCTTAATTTAAGTCATTTTAACTTACCTAGATATTGTTTTTTCCAGTACAGTTATGATAATATTAAAATCTGTTACATAAATTAAATCTAACACAATATATTTTGTCCACAGGATGCAAAGTCAGATGGAGGCAAGACTGGACACTGGGGAGAAGACTAAAAGGTATGAACCAATGACTTGAATAATTATAATTACAGTTGATTTGCTTGAACTTGACACCTAAACATGTCCGTTCTTACAGCCCACAAAAGCAGAAGAGACTGTGCTGGACAGAAGTGTCTCTGACGCCCAAAAAGCAGAAGAGAAAACGCTGGAAGTGGAAAGGGACTCCAATGCCCACAGAGCAGCTGTCAGCAGGTAAGACTCACTTCGCTTTAACACTGGTTTACACGAACAACAAACATCTGATCTCTGGAGTTATCAGACTATAGAAACGTCTAAATCTGATGTGAGAAATCTGATTTATTTGCCAAAAGCTGCACAAGGGTTAACAGTCGAACAGGAAGAGAAAACGAATGTGGCAAAGACAAAATTATAAGAATGAAAGAGTTATTTTAAATTCATGGCACTTTGTCTTCCAAATACAACAGTCTAAAAATCTTAAACTGAACATAAATCATAGGCTACGACACATGTGCCCAGGACTAAACCAGGACTAAACTAGGTCTAAACCAGGACTAAACTAGGTCTAAACCAGGACTAAACCAGGACTAAACCAGGTCTAAAACAGGACTAAATCACTACAGCCCTGCTTATAATACATGACCTTTACTTAATCTGTAACTCCAGAATCATTCAGATCACAATTATATTTTTGGTTTGACAGCAAGTTGGCTTTGCTCATATATGTTTTTATTTATTTTTTTTAGGTTCTTCTGGCTCACCGAAGCAAAAGAACTTCTTCCGAAAGATCCTGTCCTGGTTCAGATGTGCCAACTGTTTCCGCTCTGACACGGTGGAATAAATTAAGTGACGGGGCGCGAGGGGGCGCTGGGGGGTTTGTGTTTGGAGACATGGGCTTAAATAATGTGTTCACCCCCTGATGGGTGAAAGACCAAGTGGGAGGGAAAGAAAAAACAGCAGCAAAAAGAGAGGACCCCAAACAAAGGGCACCCTCGATATTGGCACCAGTTTTATAGAGATATCGCCCAAACATAAGTGGGAAGACGCGACTATTGTTTTGACTGTTGATTGTCAAAATGAGAACTGGGCAAACAGGAAACAGGTCTGACTTACTCCCAGCGACTCAACCACAGCCCCCGCTCACGTCAAACAAGAACCACACAGCCCCGAGCAAAAAGCCCCGGACCCCGTACACCTGGAGCCCCCCCCACAAGAGACACGGTGAAACGTCACATCTGTAAAAGTCCACGTCCAAAAACTCATGTGGATTTGTGTTACAGGCCCCGGCCCTTTGATATTTGTTTAGAGTGCTGACGTTCTTCTGTATTTGCTTTTGTGTGTGCACGATGCGATCGGTCCACAAGCCCTGGACCCGGATGTGCGGGAGTACCAAACGCCGAACGGCGGCTGGTGTCGCAGCGCGTCGACGATTGGCCGGTCACCCCTCCGCCCCCACCAATCCGCGGATGCCACCTGTGGTAGCGGGGGTTTAAAAAGGACCATCTTCCCCCTGCTCGGCGTGGCTGGATCCCTGTGGGCGGTTCGCCCTTTTTGTTTCTTTTGGTTGTCTCATTTTGTGTTTTGTTGCCTGTTGCCTCCGTTAGTTCTTTGAGACACTCTTTGTGTTTGCAGTACAACTTGAGTTAGATTTGTTACATTGTACTTAGTTAGGGCTCCTTAGTTTATTTTGTTTAATTCCTTTTTATTTTCTCCTCAATGCCTGTTTTTTTTTGTTCTTTCCCTACACTCGGGGAGACGTGAACTTTCAGGCTGTGGCTCCCAAATTATGGAATGCCCTGCTCCTAGCTCTACGTGAGACAGACTCTATAGACTCTTTTAAAAAGCAGCTCAAGACACTGCTATTTAGACAGGCTTTTAGTTGACTGTATCTGTACTTCTTCTGTTCTTGTTTATGTAGTTTTTATGCTGTTTTGCTCTGTAAAGCACTTTGTGATTTTTATTTTTTTTTTATCTGTGAAAGGTGCTATATAAATAAAGATTTACTTACTTACTTTACACTGTAAATAATAAATGCACAATTTTTTGTTAAACCTTAAACATCCTGGTTTTATTGTTACTTCCTATTCTCCCCTAGCAAAGGGGATGTAACAACTTGTGGGAACATGTGTCTAAAGTTAAAAAATAACAATATTGGAGTGCTACACTGGATCAAAAAATTTACGCAGAGAGGTGCTCATCAAACCGGAGGGCTTAGATTCTTGTAAAGGAGAAAAAAGGATGGCAGAGGCCCTCTGATTTGCGATGAATTTATTAATAGTCACGTCAATGTGTTTCGACTACTTAGGCTGTGTCCCAATTCGAGGGCTCCAGCCGCCGAAGGCTGGTTTTAAGGCCACATACGTCACTTCCGGTGAAAGAAGGCCTGTCCCATTTCATTTTTATGTCATGCAGCCTTCAAATGCAGCCCTAAAACCGGCCTCGTTTCCATGGAAATGGGGCCGCGAACGGAGGACACATCAGAGTATCCTTCGCAGCCTTCAGTATCCCAGCATGCACCGCGCGGCGCCAGTCACATGTTCGAAAACACGGAGCAAAAAGCCGGTCCTGAGAGCGGAGAAAAACATGTGAGTAACACTTTTAACTTTAGGAAATCATTACTAACACAACTGTAAATGTAAAATACGACCAAAACTCCCACAAAACTGTCAAATAAGTTTGTTTTTAACTGCGTGAACCGCGGAGTTTTGAGCTAAAGTTTGCCTAGTGATGTGCAGCTAATGCGATGAAAAGTCCGCTCAAACTTTCATATTTGGACACATTTCCATCAAACACTCATCATGTTTTTACTGTTAGGGGAAAAGAAGCCCACAGATGATTTAAAGAAGCTACGAGGAGAAAACTCCATGTTTTCATGGACAGTGTAAACATGTAAACAGTTGGTCAGTGTAGCTCGGAGTTAAGATGAAAACACACATTATTTCATACATTCAACTGAAAAAAGACTCAGTCTGACTCTATCAAAGCTCATATTTACTTGTAAATCACATAATATAAGCCTCCAACGTGTGCATTTCATTCAGGGAAACATGATCTGCTTTTAACAATCCGTGCATGTTTGTAAAGTGAAGAGTAAATAATATTATGCCTGGACACGTCACATTTATGAAGGACATGAGGCTCGTTTAACAGATTTGTGCAGACACTGGTGTAGATACGACCTGGTGTAGATACGACCCGACTGTCTGTTTGGTCTGTCACATCTAATGTTATAACAATGAGAAATCTGTTTTACATGAATTTTCTTTTCTCATCTGCAGCCTCCTGTATGAGGACACGGCACACTGCAGGGGCCACAGAACTGTTGGCTGACAAGATGCTTGTGATTCATAAAATGGGTCAAATGCAGATGACAAAGTAAAGCCAACACTGAGCTGGAGTTGCTGACCCAGACTCCTGCCAACGATTAGGTATGGGGCATGTTACATTGAAAATTGTACTAATAAAAAGAGCTGCAAATGAATCATGCTTATGTTGAAATTATGATTTAAATTGTGAAAATATGTATTTCTCAAATGTGTGGGATTCCTCTGTTCATTTAGCTGTTTCAGATATAAACTGTCTTTGAATCTGAATGTACATCAAAGTTTAAGTTCAACGTTAAAATAGTTTATTGTCAATTCTTCATACGAAAAACATATAAAGAATCAAAATTGTTTTTCTCACTCCCTTGCGTATAAATAAATAATAATAAATGTAAATAGTGCGGAGGGAGTCCAGGTGTTCTTTGGGGCTGCAGGTTCTGTCAAACTTATTTTCCTCTAATAGTTTTGTAGTTTTCTTAATGTGTTTGTCATTACAGGTTTTCACTCTGCAGGACAGAACTTTGAATCAATCAGACGTAACAACCAACCTGCTCCTCCTCCTCCAGAAGACGAGAGACACATCAGACTGAGTGGTCCAAGTCCACTGTCCATGTCTCCACTGTCCATGTCTCCATGTCCATGTCTCCACTGTCCATGTCTCCACTGTCCATGTCTCCACTGTCCATGTCTCCACTGTCCACTGTCCATGTCCATGTCCATGTCCATGTCTCCACTGTCCATGTCTCCAATGTCCATGTCTCCACTGTCCATGTCTCCAATGTCCATGTCTCCACTGTCCATGTCCACTGTCCATGTCTCCACTGTCCATGTCTCCACTGTCCATGTCTCCACTGTCCATCCACTGTCTCCACTGTCCATCTCCAGTGTCTCCAATGTCCATGTCCATCCACTGTCCATGTCCATCCACTGTCCATGTCCATGTCTGTCTCAATGTCCATGTCTCATGTCCATGTCTCCACTGTCCATGTCTCCACTGTCCATGTCTCCACTGTCCATGTCTCCACTGTCCATGTCCAGAGTCTCATATGATCTGAACAAGTGTGTGAGACAGAAATGAAAACATCTGTTCATAAGTTTTTCTGAATGTTTTTCAGTCTGTACTGACATTTGATTTATGGTAAAATGTGCCATTTATTTGGTGTCTCTTTTGATAGTAACTAATTACATGTACTATAAGAATGTACTATTGTACTGCAGATAAGCTGTGGTGTTCCACATGATCATATCTGGCAAAGATAATTTGTTCATTTTTGATTGTCACTTGCTTCAGCAAAAAGGGAACAATGAGATTTACTGACATACAGCTGTTTGTACTAACCTGTTAATGCAGAGTGTGTGTGTTTGTGTGTGTGTGTTGTGTGTAATGGGTTTAATATTTGACTTCATATTATGATAAAGTATTTCCAGAAGTTCCTTGGATTGTTTAATAAATCATCTTTTCTCAGGAGAGATTCTTTCTTTCTTTACAAACTGACTGTATAAATGTAATCCCTGGTCAATATAAAAATCGTTAATAATGATAATATTTAGTAATACATATCTCATCACTGTTTTTTATTTTATTTTAAGATAATTTAGTCTATTTAAAATGTATCCCTTAAATATAGCCGTTTTGTTTTGCAAAAGTTAAACATACATTTTCGGTTTTGGCCATAAGATTTGGATGCGAATTATTAAAATAATTTGGTCACAAAATCCGACAGTTTGATGACCTGTGCGTCTTTTTACTGATCCGTGTGCGGAATCTGCGCGGAGCGTGTTAGCATTAGCGCTAGCAGCGTCCCTCGGTTGCTAGGCGACAGGGGAGCGGCTCCGAGGTCTCATGTCCCATTTCCGCAACGGCCTGGCGTCCGCGGAGGCCAGTTCAAGGGCTGCAGCCTTCGCGGCCGACGAAGGACCCAGACTTCACAGCCTTCGGAGGCTGCAGCCCTTTGAATTGGGACACAGCCTTAGTCTACATCAGGGCTGATTGAGTAAGCAGGAAGTGTGACCATTTATAGGGGTCGTGACCCCAGACACGTGATAGTTAAAAAACAAGCAAACTAAATCTCCCAAAACATTTACATGAATCCAAGTATATTGACAACATACCATTCTACCATTCATTTCATGTGTCTAAAGTTTGTCTGCCACATGTTTATTTGAAGTCACCTTTTCCTCACCCTGTGAGGGTTTCATTGTGCCCCTCCTTCTCTTCTTACCCTATTTGGTGTTTCCTGGGCAGATCCCAATCACACACCTGCTGAGCTCCACTCCTGATACGCACCAACTAATCATCACCTGCCATAAAGACCTGCTGACCTTCTCTTCAGTGCCAGATCGTTCCGTCAGTCTAGTGGTGAACAACTAAACCAGGACTAAACCAGGACTAAAACCAGGTCTAAAACCACACTGTAAAGAATTTCTCTGTAAAATAACAGTAAAGAGCTGGCAGCAGAGACGCCTGCACATTACTGTTATTTTACAGTATTTGTACTGTGAATTCACCTCACGGCATATTGCTGTAATAGTGAATTACAGTATATTTCTGTATTTTTTTTAATTTACAGTAAAGTACTGTCAGCAGAGACGCCAGCACTTTACTGTTATTTTACAGTATTCATACTGTAAAATGACTTTACAGCTTATTATTGTTTTGGTAAAATACAGTATATTTCTGTTTTTTTTATTTTTTTATTTACAATTAAGTACTGGCAGCAGAGATCCTGCAATATACTGTAATTTTGTAGTTTCCATACTGTTGACCAATTCACAGATCATAGCCTATTACAGTAAAAATAAAATGCAGTATATTTCAGTGATTATTTTAATTTACAACATTCTAGGGTTACTAAATGTTTACTGTAGCCAGGCATAATACAGTGACTCAGCACTTTAGAATATCTAAAATCTCAAAATTCACTGCAATCAAAATTAAAATTGTTCTGTGGACTATGACTTAAACCTATGGTTAATAACCAATAAACAATTTACAAAGGATATAAATCACACAAATATTTACTGAAAAGGGCAGTGTCAACATGAATACTGCTGGTGTAAAATACAATAATAATAATAATAATAAATATAGCCGCAAGCGGCAATGATCGGCCCTCACGTGTGCTTACGCCGCGCGCCGCATACGCCGCACCTCACACTGACCCTAATAAGCCTAAGTTTAAACCTTACCCTAATCATAATCCTAACCATAGCCCTAACCCTAGCCTTATAAATTTTAATTTAACCCTGCAATTTTCAAAATTTGGCAAAAAAAAATTATCCAAGATGGCGGACTTCCGGTTTGTAAAGGGGCGTGGTCACAATATACATTTTTGTTCTTATTGCCATGATGCGTTTGGCTACGCCAACGTTTGTGTAAGGACATTTCATTGGCAAGGATACAATTTTGGCTTGTTGCCATGGCAACACAATGTAAACGGGATGTGAGCATCATTGAGTTTTTTAATCAAGGCCATGTCACAAATGTGGGTGCCAAATGTTGTGTATCTGTGACAAATAAAAACTTATTATTACATACAAATTTTCTAGGGGGCGCTATTGCAGCCATTTTTGTATTTTCTTACATCAGTCTGTTCAGGGTCGGTGTGTGAACTCACGATTAAAATTTGAGGGAAAATGGCCAAAGTTTGTGCAAATTATCAGGCGTCGTAGTTTGATGGTGAGCCCTAAAAATGAACCTGAAATTTGCACCGTTGCCACAAACAAACACTGTTTGACCTTTTAAAAAGCTTTTAACAACTTTTAATGTCGCACTTTTGTTTTGTTTGTTTTGTTTTATAGTGTATTATATTCAGACTGAGATCACGCATTAGTGATTCAAATTTCAGTTCAACCGGACTAAACAGGTGCGTGTAATATAATATTTCATATTTTTGGGGGGAGTGTTTGCGCCCCTGCTGGCCAACAGTGAAAAATTCACCATGTCCATATTATACTTTTGCTCGTAATCATGCATAGAATTTAATTCCCAAATTTGGTGCAGATTCGATAATGTTGACGTTTCATGTCTATGGTAGGGGGCGCTATAGTGTTTTTCATATGTTTTATAGTGTATTATATTCAGACTGAGATCACACATTAGTGATTCAAATTTCAGCACGATCGGACTAAGTCTGTGCGAACAGGAGCAAATAATGTCATCGTGAAATTCATCAAAATTTTGATCAAAATTTGCAGCTTCGCCGCACGTAAACAGTGATGGTAACAAAATGAATCAGCTAACTTTAGATGTTCCACTTGTCTAGATGAAGTACGGTGATTTTCAGCCCTGTGGGTGAAGCTCCTTCAGAGGAGTTTGCTCAAATTTCGATCCAAGATGGCCGCCTTCTGGTTTGTCAGGGGGCGTGGCCATAATAACATTTTTTGTTTGTCTTGACATGACGACTGTGTGTACCAAATTTCGTGGCTCTACGACAAAGTTGACGTTGAGACGTCTCCCATAGGCGCAATGTATTTTGACTTTTCAAGGTGGCGCTGTGTCGCCATTTTTTTTTATGCCCGTGCACAAAACCTATATTTTATCGAATTTTTCACCACTTCTGAATTTTGGGCAAAGTTTGGTGAGTTTTTGAACATGTTTAGGGGGTCAAATTAGAGCTCAAAGAGCATAATAAAAAAATAATAATATTTTTAGCAAAAACAATATTTCCGAAAACATTAGAACAACATATTATACATTTTTTGAAAGCTCTCGACCTTCCCCACGTCACCATGGGGTCATTGGTGAGTGACGGGCGCGTCTGCACCATCTCGTCGGGGTCGCCCCCTGACCTCCCATTGACTTCCATTCATTTTAGCAGTAGTAAATATGGCTCAGGCCTTGGGCGTGGGTTACTGGGATACTGCTGTTCATACCGGGGGCAACCGAGGACAATGTTGCATGTTGCCCTGTCGCATTCGCCCATGCGCACGTCGCTCTCTATTCGCTCCGCGTAGCGGAGCCCCCTACGTCCTGTCGGGGCTCGGGCCTAATAATATTCTGATGCGAGAACAATGTTCCGCTTTTTTTTGGCCGACAAACTATACATTTTCGGAAACCTCAGACACATTGCTACGTGATGGCGAGGGTCCCTGGTCACTATGGGCGAGTCACGTCGCGCCATTCCATTTTTCGGCCACTTGGAGCATCGCTTTGTGATACTAATAGACCCTTCGCCAGCCTCTGGCGCTCGGGCCTAATAGAGCGCCAGAGGCTGGTGAATGGCCTTTCAGTGTCGCAAAGCAATGCTTCTAGTGGCTGGAAAGTGAAATGGCGCGATGTGAGTCACCCGGGGAGTGGCATGTGCGGGACATGTCACAGGCATGAGCGAGAGCCAATCATTGCCACTTGCAGCTATATTGATTCGTTATTATTATCATTAATGATTTACACACTTTGATTATTATTTACCTGAGCATCCAGTATTGTGCAGTATCGCATACACAAGATGAAGGGTATTTTGGGGGGAAAGAAGTTCTGTATTTTATCATCAAATGTGACATTTCATGAAAATTCTATAATTCAAGATGGCCACCGCCACATGATGTCAAAATACACAAACTAGATGGGTATATTTAATCCCTACATAAATTTTGGGTCATCCTTAATATTTCTCCAATTTACAGAAAGTGTATTGCTTTTCAGTTTTAAGCTATAGCCTTTTGAAATTAAGATGTCAAAAT